ATTATTTAGCTGTGGTGAGAATTGCTTGCAGACAAATGCCATCTCAGATTCATACAGGTTGGTCTAGTCCTAAACAGGAGACTGTTCAGTTTGTATTTGAATTGCAATGACTTGGTTTAATCAGAGCAATACAATAATATGTTGGTTCATCAAACATTGGAATCCATGCTCTTTGCTAGAGTTGAAGATGCTAGAGGGTTTCTGATGGAGAAAGCTTAGTCTTTGATTTCTAAGAGATGATGCTAGGTTAAGAACTAATCAAGCATGATTAGCGTGATTGGATCTTCTTGAAACGTACTGAGATTTAACTGGGATTTGGGGATCTGGAGTCAAGATGGAGATTTCTAAAGCAGGTTATGTGCTTAAAATATGATATCTAAAGGCTGAATCAGTGTTAACAGGTAAGGAGGTATACCTACCATTAGATACAAGGTGGAACATATGTAAAAGCTGTAAGTAATGCAGGGCATGGTGGTACAGGTCTGTAATTGCAGCAGTTAGGAGGCTGAGGCAGGAGGATTGCTAGTCTGAGGCCAGCCTGGGAATCAATCTCAATCTCAATCTCTCTCTCTCTCTCTCTCTCTCTCTCTCTCTCTCTCTCTCCTGTCTCACCAAACAAAACAAACTGTAGGCAAGAGAGCACCTGATATTTAGGAAATAATCACTGTAGTGAGGCTCTAGAGTATGAGAATATTGTCAGGGAAACAGGGGTCTTGATTAGAGACTTTATATAGTGCCAGAGAGTTGCTTGTTTAGAGCTATTGAAGGTTTATAATGGAAGAGCCTTTTGACTTCAGTTACTGGATCTGGGAATGAATTGGAAGAAGTCAGGGGTAGAGCCAGAGAGTCTGATAAGGAGACTTTTTTTTTTTTTTTGAAACAGGGTTTCCCTGAAGTTGGTCTGGAATTCACTATGTAGACCATAGACCAAGCTGGGCTTGAACTCGTAGAGATTCGCCTGCCTCTGCCTCCCAAGTGCTGGGACTACAGGCGTGTGCCACCATGCCTGGCTTTAGCTTTCTTTCTTTCTTTTTTTTTGATAAGGAGACTTATAATGAATAACCCAATTGTGATTTTTATGGAGGGTGTGATTAGGCTAGTGTAGGTGTGGTTAAGCAATTCAGGCAGAAATTTAGGCTGAATTAGAGAAATGCTTTGATGAAGTGATAGAGAAGAACTATGATTTTATTTGTATATTTAAATATTCATTTGTACACATTTAAATCAAAGGTAAAAGCCTACATTTTAATTATAGTTATTCAATTGTATTTAATTGTAGAAATTAATGAGTTTTGCTTTGAGATTTCGCATGTGTATATATGTGTGTATATATATGTATGTGTATATATGTACATGTATATGAGATCTTACCAGCTCTCCCTACAACAATCTTTGGTCTCCTTCCCCTCCCTATCTCTAGTCTCTATTTTCTATTTTCAGAAATTGAAGATGAAGGGAACATGAAATACTTCTCTTTATGTGTGGGGAGTATTTCACTTACCATGTAATCTCTTGTTCTATCCATTTTTTTCTGCAAATAACACCATTTTATTTTTTTAATGAATACACACACACACACATAAAATGTTTTTTAATCTAATCATCTGTTGGTAGGGACATATGCTGACTGTATTTTTGCCAGTGTGAATAGTGCCACAGTAGACGTACCTCTGTATGCTGACTTTTTTTCCTTCAGGTATATATTAGGAGGAATATAGCCAGATCATATGGCAATCTGTTTTTATTCTTTTGAAGAATTCCATACTATTTTCCATAGTGGCTGTATTTATTAGTCAGGGTTCTCCAAAGAAAAAGAACCAGTAGAATGAATATGTATAGAGATTTATCAGCTTAGCTCACAGGATAGAGTCCGAGTAGTCCAACAACGGCTGCACCACACTGGAGAGGCTGAGAATCTTAGTCGCTCAGTCCACAAGGCTGGATGTCTCAGTAGTCCCAATCGGTGCTGAAGGTCTGACAAATTCCAAAATATCAGGTAGGCTGCAGTCTACAGCAGCAAGACGAACTCACCAGCAAGAGAGAGAAGGCAAGCTGCAAAAAGCCTGGCGTTCTCCTCTGCCTTGGTCTTTTATACCGGCTGCCATCAGAAGGTAACACCCACATTTAGGGTGTGTCTTCCAGCTTCAGATGATCCAATCAAGAAGATCTCTTTCATTTCAGTTAATCTCAGATCCAATCAAGTTGACACCCAGGATTAGCCATCACAGTGGCTATATTCCAATACTACCAACAGTATATAAGGGAAACCCATATTTTTATTGTCTTGAGAATTACATATTTGGTAAATAAATGTCAATTGCCATTTAATTTTAAAATCAAGAATAAATTTTGGTAAGTTATTTAATAAACTCTCCATTGGTCATGACTTAGTACCATTGTATCAACTGGGAACAATTCAAACTTAGATAATTTACACATGAACCTAACATTGGGGGCCGGCCATTCCATATCCAAACTACAGCAGATACTCAGCTTATTTCTGTACCTTGACTATTGTGAATAGTGCTACAATGAACTTTATGGTGCAGATAACTTTACAAAGAGATGATTTCATTTTCTTTGGGCATATAACCAGGAGAGGACTGCTAGGTCATATAGCAGTTCTATGTTTAAATGTTTTAGAAACCTATATATTGTTTTTCGTAATTGCTGTGCTAGTTTAACATTTCTGTCAGTAGTATACGATGGTTCCCTTTTCCTTTTCTCTGTACACCAGACAGAATCAATCTCAAAATCTCTCTCTCTGTCTGTGTCTGTCAGTGGCTGTGTTACTCAACTTTCTGTTATCATAACAAAGTACCTGAGATAATTTAAAAAGAAGAATGTATTATTTTGGCTCATACTTTTTAAAAAATTTATTTTTATTTTATCTGTATGAGTCTATTGCCTGAATGTATTTAAGTGCACCTGTGTTGTACAATGCCAGTGGAGGTGAGAAGGGGACATCAGATCTCTTGGAACTGGGATTATGGACAGTTAGTTACCATGTGGGTGCTGGGAATCGAACCTGGGTCCTCTGCAAGACCAATCACTGCTTTTAACTGCTGACCAATGTCTCCAGTCCCTTGGCTCACACTGTTAACGGTGTCAGTCCATGGTCATTTGGCCCCCTTGGTCTGTGGGTTTGTTGTGAGGCAGTACATTATGGTAGAGGAAGCCAGTTCACCTCAGGGTCAAGGAACAGAGAAGTGCCTCACAGTCCTGTTTCAGGGCATTGCCCTGATGACCTAAAAGATACACCCGATCCCTACTTCTTAAAGGTTTCTAGTACTTTCTCTACATTAGCACCAAGTTGAGAATTAAGCTAAAATTCTTTAACACCCCTTTGGGGAACATTCTAGATCCAAGGAGTGGTTTTCCTAACAAGTATAAGATGATAGATATCTTTTTATGGCTTTGATTAGTCTTTCCCTGATAAGTGATGTTGAGTAACTTTATGTAGCTATTTGTTATTTTTAAAAATTAATTTTTATTTTTATGTGTATGAGTATTTTGACCATGTGTCAGTGTACCATGTGCATGCAATGCCCGTGCATGGAGACTAGAAGAATCCTGTGGAACTGGAGTTACAGATGGTTGTTAACCACCATGTGGGGGCTGGGAACTAACCCTGGGTCCCCCTTAAGAGAAGCTTATGTTCTTAACTGCTGAGCTGTCTCTCCAGCCCGTTTGTTATTTTTATTTCATTCTTATGAAGGGTTATTTCAAAGTCCTTTGCCCGTGTTTACTTATAGGTGCCCTTACTTTTGAGCTATACAAGATATTTATAAATCTTGTATATTTATCCCTTATTTGATAATATGGTTTATAATATTTTTCGCAATCTATAACTTGTCTTTTTATTCTGTTTCCTAAAAATTCAGGTTATGCAAGCAGAAATAAACATGTGGGACAACATTAAATTCTAATTTTATTTTGACCTCAAAGGAGTCAGGTTTAGGTGCTATCATTCTTTATTTGCAGTATCTTACTTTAATGGTGAATGTCTATTCTTAAGTGGGATATATATTTCAAAGGGGAAATGAATTGAGTATCATTTGAAAGCATGTATTCTATCTTTGTAGCCTGTCCTCCTGAGTTTTTTAGGAAACAGATGCATGTATTGCCTGCATGTATGTAAGTGTGCCCATGTCATGCAATGCCCACGAAGGACAGAAGAGGCCGTCGGATCTCTTGGAACTGGAGTTAAGGACAGGTGTTAGCTGCCGTGTGGGTGCTGGGATTCGAACCCTGGTCTTCTGCAAGAACAACCAGTGTTCTCAACAGCTGACCCATCTCTCCAGCCCCGTGAAGTAGTTATCTTAGTGTAGTTTTTTTTTTTTTTTTCCCTTTTCAAAAATGGGGATTGAACCTATGGCATTACATATGCAAGGCAAACATTCTACCACTACATTATAGCTTTCTCATTGTGAATTTATATATTATAGAACAATCACAGAAGGGGGAAGGGGCATAGCTCAGTAGTAGAGTGTGTGCTTAGTAGGAGTGAGGCCCTGGGTTTAATCCCTAGCACTGGAAAAAGAACTTGCAGTTTTAATAGTACCTGCTAATACTTACACTTAGGAGTACTTTCCATACAGGCAAATAACTATTAATTTCTTTTTATTGTCAAAGTAAGTGCAGATAGTAAGTAGATAAGCATTTAATTCAGGACTTGGGTAAATAACTTTTTTCATTTGGACTTTAACATTGTCATAATAAAAGGAAATACTAATAACTTGGCCACTAAGAGATGGTAAACTTTTCACCCTTGTTACTGTGTCAGTTACCTGTTGCTGTATAGCAAATTACCCAAAGTTAGTAGCTGAAAGCAACATATTTATATTATCAGTTATGCGGTTAGAAATTTGGGCATGGTGTGACTAGATTCTCTGTGAGAAGGTCTTGTCTGCTCCATGGAATGATTAGATTTTTGTGCATATTATACGTACTGGATTTAAGAGATTAAAGTTTTGCTTAATTTATTGTTATGCTTAAAGCTCAAGTCTAATCCAAGTGAAAATGAAGAAAAGGAAGCCCAGTCTCAACTTCTAAAATCTGATGAGATGCAACGTCTCCGCTCACAAGCCCTTAATGCTTTCGAAAGTGCAGATTATACTGCTGCTATAACCTTCCTTGATAAGATTTTAGAGGTAAGTTTCTTAAATATTACAGCTGAAAAGTCTGGCACTGCTTTTTAATAGTAAGGCATATCTCAGATACTTCGACATGTTTATATACTATTAAAAAACAAGATAGGGCAAAATCAGATTGATTCCTTGAGTTTTTAGCTCTTACAGACTGTGAATATATACAACAAAATTTGCAACTGGGGTTTTCAGTAAATGTTGGGATGCCGTGGAATGAAAGTTATATATATATACATAAAATATTTTTATGTGTATGAATGTATTATGTGTGTAAATGCACCTGTATTGTGCAGTGCCTGTGGAGGTCAGAAGAGGATGTCAGATTCCCTGGAAATGGAGTTATGAACGTTTTTTGGCCACCATGTGGGTACTGGGATTCAAACCTGGGTCCTCTGCAAGAGTAGTCAGTACTCTTAACCACTGAGCCAGCTCTCTAGCCCGAGAGTTTTATATATTGCTTGCTTTACATTTTTTTTCTTTTTAAATTTTGGTGGAAGTGAACACTGGTGGCTAGAAAATGGGGTAAAAAAATGGAAGAGCTACTTAAAAAGGAAATATGTTTGGAAAGAAAAGAATGCTTAAAGTGAGAAGTTTCTAGGTAGGAAGGCAGAGAGAGTGATAGGATGAAGAGGGTTCTAGATGAGGAACATTCATTTTAGGGTTTCTTTGCCTCAGAAAGATTTACTGACAAATTATTTCAGAAGAAAGTCTAAAATACTAAATGGAAATAATATAATTACCATTTTCACTACATGTTGACTTAATATTGTCAGTAAATGTGTGTTGTATGGAAATAATTTAAAAAAATTATTTGTGTGCATGTGTGATTGTGGTTGTATGTACCATAGTGCACTATCAGAGATCAGAGGACAGCTGTATGGAGTGAGTTCTTGTACACTTTTACTTGGGTTCTGGGACTCAAACTGAAGTCACCAGGTTTGCACTGCAAGCACCTTTAGCTGATGAACTATCTCACCAGCCCTTATTTGAAAAATTTCTAGAGGAAATCATGTGATATGGCCTAGTGGAATTCATGTTCTATGAAATTATTTTATTAATGCTTTATTAAGGAAACAAAGTTATAATTACCATCTATATGGTAGACTGTCCATTTTGGCCTATCTTATTTTCAGGATTTTGTTTATGTGTATGAGAATATTGCCTGCATGTGTGTAAGTGCACCTGTGGTGTGCAATACCTATGGAAGTCAGAAGAAGGTGTCAGATCCCCTTGAACTGGAATTACAGATGGTTGTTAGCCGTTATGTGGGTGCTGGGAACTGAACCTGGGTCCTCTGCAAGAGCAGGCAGTGCTTTTAACCATTGAGCCATCTCTCCAGGTCCTTACTGTTGGTATTTAATTTATGTACAATATTAATTGCAATTTCTTCATATTTATGAAATGTTGGCATAATGTAGAGCAACTCTGAGAAATACATAAATATACTTCCACAGGCCCTGCTTTTGAGCTTTGGGGGTTTATATTTGGAGGAGTCTACTACGTTTAGTGAGCATTATGGACTTTTCATAAAATAGGAATGTTGAAGTCAGAGTGTCCACATTATTTTTCTCTTTTTTTAAATGACTATTTCGTACCAGAGGCAAGAATATATTTTATTAAAAAAAATCAATGCAATAAAAATGTTTTGCTAATTTACAACATAGATTTTAGGCTAGGGGTTGCACCTCAGGTGGTAGAATTCTTGTCTAGCATGCACAAACCTCTGGGGTTTGACACCCAGTACTGCATAAACTGGCCATAGTGGCAAATACCCTGAAATACTAGTACTCAAAAGGTAGCCAAGAGGAGGACCAGGAGTTCAAGGTCATTCTCAGCTACATGGAGTATTTGAGGCCAGCCTGCGTTATGTGAGACCTTGTTTCAAAAAGCAAACCCAAACAAAATAAGCAAGAACTTAGATTTTTTTCTTAAAATATTTTATTTTTATTTTATGTGTATGCGTGTATTGCATACATGTAGGTAAGTGCACCCATGTCCTGCAATGCCTGTGGAGGACTGTGAAGAGACTGTCAGATCTCCTGGAACTGGAGTTACAGACAGTTGTTAGCTGCCATGTGGGTGCTGGGATTCGAACCTGGGTCTTCTGCAAGAACAGTCAGAATTCTTAACTGCTGCACTCTCTCTCCAGCCCCAGAACTTAGATTTTCAGAATTGCTGAATTCACAAAAATCTGACTATTGAATATTCTCTTCCAATATGTGTGAGAACAACCCTCTAATATTAAATGCCATAGCTTTTTTGGAGACAGGGTCTCATTCTGTATCTCAGGCTGGGCTGGAACCCAGTATACAAACACTGTTTTCTTGTATTAGAGTTTTAGAATTATATACTCTGAAGAAGAAAGAAAAAGGCCTTTTTTTGTTGTATATATCTTTCCTAGTTAGAATTTAAGATATTCTTTGAAAAATTAATACATTATTTTTGTCATTATATTATTTAAATTTTATCACATTTTTAAATACAATTTTAAAAATACAGGCTTTGTCTCATTAACTTGGGATGTTTTATTTTTATATTTATGTGGGTCAGATATGTGGGATGCAAGAATTAATGCATATACTTAGTTTCTTAAAGTGTAGTTCTTTTGTTTCTTAAGGTTTGTGTTTGGGATGCAGAATTACGTGAACTTCGAGCTGAATGTTTCATAAAAGAAGGGGAACCTAGGAAAGCTATAAATGACTTAAAGGCTGCATCAAAGTTGAAGAATGATAATACTGAGGCGTTTTATAAGATCAGCACACTGTACTATCAACTAGGAGACCATGAACTCTCTCTCAGGTCAGTTCTGGTGACATCAAGATGTGATCTTTATTGTTGATCATAAGCTAGCCACTCATCTTTTACAATTTTCATGTTAAACTAATAAGAATGTGGTTAAGGCTGTTTTTTTTTATATCTACATCCATTCATATAATTAGGTCATTCCTAAGGTATTATAAGTTCACAGTTCATTTTCAGGAAATATGCTTATTAAAGTGAGAATGCTGTTTTACTTATAGAAACAAAGAGTGCTTACTGTATAACTCCATGTTATTTTAATTTGAATTATTGTGCCCATGGTACATTGTCATCTATAAAAGTGCATAGTAAGTAATGAAGTTTGCATGTTTTAATTGTTGCAACCAAAAACTCTTATTTCTGTACTCACTGCAGATAAGTATTCATTCATTGATTATTTTGACTTGGAATATTTCCTTTTTTAAAATTACATGAGCAGTGAAGTTCGTGAGTGTCTTAAACTTGATCAGGATCACAAAAGGTGTTTTGCGCACTATAAACAAGTGAAGAAACTTAATAAGCTGATTGAGTCAGCTGAAGAGCTGATCAGAGATGGCAGGTAAGAATATACTTATGCCAGCAATCCAGTCATTCCTTAAATATCTAGCGTGGGCACAAAAGAACTACTGAGCTGTTACTGGTTTATTTCCTGGTCTTTGTGGGTGTAGATGGTACTGAGCTTGGGCTAAACTACCAGGACTATACATTGTTGAAATTGGCGCTGATTGAGTCAGCTGAAGAGCTGATCAGAGATGGCAGGTAAGAATATACTTATGCCAGCAATCCAGTCATTCCTTAAATATCTAGCGTGGGCACAAAAGAACTACTGAGCTGTTACTGGTTTATTTCCTGGTCTTTGTGGGTGTAGATGGTACTGAGCTTGGGCTAAACTACCAGGACTATACATTGTTGAAATTGGCAAAATATGAGTAACACTAACTGCGTAGTATCCTCACAAGCAGATTTATGCTATTTCAGATTTTTCTTATGTTTTCTGTCAGGTACTGAACTATATACTGAGAGTGCAGAAATGAATTTGACTACAATTTTTGGTGTTACAATATTTATAGCTTAGTGTGGGAGGCAGACATAAAGTGGCAGTTACCAAAATGCCAGGGTGGGTACAGTTGATAACCAAAGTACTAGAGTGGAGTATAAATGGCAAAACTAAAGGGCTTTTTAATCCAATCTCCAGTGGTTTACAGGAGTAAAAGAGAAACTCACTGGAGACATGACAGTTAAATTCTCATCTGGTATGAGTTGCCAGAAGTATAAGGTGTTGTATCTGCATACTGACTAGGGGTTCATAGACTGGGGCAGGAAAGTTAAAGACATTAAAGAGTATTGCTTAGTACTTAGAAGGTAGGCTCTGGCTTCCCTACTCCTAATACCTTTGTAATTGTCATGAGAATGCTTTATCCAATTTCCCTTAATATCTTGTAAACTATAATATCTTAGAATACTATAATACAGTACCCTAGTTCAGATGTTAATTCCATCACCACAAGGATCTATCTTATGATGTACTTCAATAGCCATGACCACTTTCCTGTCCCTAGTCTTCCTTAGTTCCTAGCAACCATGAATATATTCTTTGTTTCTTTAATTTTGTCATCTCAAGAGTATTAAAGAAATGGAATCATAGAAGCTGTAAACATCCGGGATTGGCTTTTATTCCCCTTCAGTATAATTCTCTGGATATTTACCCAGTGTGTATTGATATTTCTTTCCTATTTATTGCTTAATATTTTCCATGGTATGAATATATACTACAATTTGTTTAGCCATTCACTCCTTTTTTTGGTCTTTTTGAGACAGGATCTCCCTATAACCCCAGCTAGCCTGGAACTCACTGTGTAGACTAGGCTGGCCTTGAACTCAGAGATCTACCTGCCTCTGCCTCTGCCAGGATTAAAAGCGTGCACCACCATGCCCAGCTAGCCATTCACTCTTGAAGCTCACCCAGTGAATAATGCTGCTGCTTTTATGTATACGTTTTTAGGTAGGGTTGGAGATAAAACTCAGTGGTACAGCAACTGCTTAGAATATACAAGGCATGGGTTTGATCCCCAATGCTGTTGCCTGCCACAAAAACAAAACAAGACAAAACAACAAACAACCTTTTTCTGGGACTGGGGAGATGCGAACAATAACCGAACAGAGTAAACATTCCACTCAAGTCTAGTTTGGTGAAGCAGTGAGTTTATTGGGTTTATTTACAGGAGCATGGATGGGGGGTGGCTACATATAGATGAATGAGTGACCCCAAAACAGCTGCATCACTGAAGTCTCAATATGTATACTTCCTTATAGCTACATAGTTGGAGTCTCCTCTTAATGTAACCTTCAACCTTCTATATACCCTATCCACATGTCTCTGCAATTTTTTAAATTATATTTATTTGTGTGGGTGCACATTTGGTCAGAGGACAAGTCACAGAAGTTGGTTCTCACCTTCATGTGGGTCCTAGGGATTGAACTCAGGTGCTTGGTAGCACATGCCTTTACCAGCAATCTCACCACCGACCCCATGTTTTAGACTCCTGTGTCTGGATTGTACCTTCCAGGCTACCCCGGGTTAAGGTTAGGGCAACTGCATTTGAAGGCAGGTGTTGTGCCTATTTAGTTGAATTAGTAAGCAACACACAGTACCAGGAAAGGTTACTTTCAACGACTTTGGGAATAGAATTTCACTGTTACCACAATTGCTTATTTAATAGATACACAGATGCAACCAGCAAATATGAATCTGTCATGAAAACAGAGCCTGGTGTTGCTGAATATACAATTCGTTCCAAAGAAAGGATTTGTCACTGCTTTTCTAAGGTAATGGTTGACTTGTTCTCAGAAATGTAAATACTTAGCATGAGTAATAAAAAACATAAATTCTTTAGAAATCTTTTAAAATTAATTCAGTGTGTGTGTGTGTGTGTGTGTGTCTGTCTGTCTGTCTGTGTGTGTCTGTTTGTCTGTGTCTGTGTACAGCGAATGTGTGGAGGTCAGAGAACAACTTGAAGGAGTCGGTTCTCTCCTTCCACTGTGTGGAGTCCAGGGACCAGTCCCAGGCTAAGGTTGTCAGACTTGGTGGCAAGTGCCTGTACCTGGAGAACCATCTCTCTAGTCTGTTATTTTCACTTATTTTTTTGGTACCGGGGATTGAACTGAGCAAGCAGTTCACCACTGAAGTGCATCCTAAGGACATAAATTCTTTCCTCACATTTACTTTTAGGATGAGAAGCCTGTTGAAGCAATTAGAATATGTTCTGAAGTTTTACAGATGGAACCTGACAATGTGAATGCCCTGAAAGATCGAGCAGAGGCCTATTTAATAGAAGAAATGTATGATGAAGGTATATTTTAAAGAGATTTGATTTACAGTATCTAAAGGCTAAATTATGTGAAATCAGCAGACATTCCATTGTATTTTATTTTTGAACAACTTTATCTGGAAATGCTGAGGTTTAGAAAAGAGAATTTGGAAATTATTCTTTCTTAGCGGAACTTAAAAAGTAGAATATCTGAGGAAACAGTTCTGTTGAAACCAGTTCAGTGGACCATAAAAAAAAAAATTTAGCTTGTGTATAGTACATTTAAAAGAGACAAACAGCAAAATAGGAAATTTACTATAGATCTCATATCATCCAGAGGTAATTACTGTTGATTTCATATTTATATTTTTCCAGACTTGTCTAAACACATATGACTACAATACATACAGAGAGCATTACATACACATTGGCATAACAAAATGATCCTCTACAACCTCCAAACTGTTATAGCAACATGTGGATAGCTGCTTACCTTACTTCAAGTTGAAATACCAAGAGAGATTCCTACTAGATGTTATAAGAACCATCAATAAAGGCAGTGCTAGAGCATGTACAGTAATGTTTATTGAAAAGACCAAATTTATTATATCTACTCTTCAGCATTTGTATGATAGTACTTTATGAACATCTGAACAGAATATTTGGATTATTTTTAGTTTATTGACAGTTTTATATATACATGTATTGATCAGGATCACCCCCATTCTCCCCACTTATTCCCCCTTCTACTTCCTCTGGAGTCATTCTTCCCACCATATCTTCCTCCTTATTTAATGCCTTCAATTTTAATTTTTTAAAAAATATTATTTTTATTTTATGTGTATGCATGTATTGCCTGCATGTAGGTAAGTGCACCTGTGCCATGCAATGCCCATGGAGGTCAGAAGAGGCTGTCAGATCCCCTGGAACTGGAGTTATGGACAGTTGTTAGCTGCCATGTGGGTGCTGGGATTTGAACCTGGGTCTTCTGCAAGAACAACCAGTGTTCTTAACTGCTGAGCCATCTCTCCAGCCCCAATTTTTATTTTTTTTTAAATAAATGAGTTTAATCATGGTTGCTTACATATGTAAGGGTGTGGGCCTACACCTTTGAAAAAAGATGACTCACTGTCCCTCTTCTAGCAACCATTAACTGCCAATAGCTCCTCCGCTATGGTAGGAGTGGGGGTTCATGAGCCCCTCCCCTATTCATTCTGAAATGCTGACTGGATTGATATTGTGCAGGTAACTATGTGAATTCATGAGTGCAATGGCCATGCCATGTCCAGGAGATATTTTATAGCATTCCTCCCCATCCTCAGGCCTTACATTCTTTCTGACCCCTCTTCCACAATGTTCCTTGAGCCTTGGGGGATGGGTGTGATATAGATGTTCCATTTAGATCTGACCACTCAACAGTCACTTATTCTCAGCACTCTAACTATGAGTCTTCATTAGCTGCTGACCATTGCAGAAGTTTCTCTGACCAAGTGTGAGAATAGCATTAATCTAAGGGCATCAACATAAATATTTAGATGGCAGGTTTGATAACATGTCCTTTTAGCAAAACAAAATAGTACGTTCTTCTCTATAGCCCATGACTTACCCAGCCATGGACTTTTGACCACGTTTATAGTACCAGGCATAAATTCTCTCCTGTGGGGTAGGCCTCAAAGCCAATCAGAAAGTGCTTATTTACACCCATAATATTCATGTCATTATTGCACCAACGGGCACATCCTGCCTGGCAGATCAGTCTTGTAGCATGTAGGATCCGGCTCTAGGTAAGACTACTTATGAATTTTTTTTCCTAATGGCCTTCATAGCACCTTTGAGGGACTCTGAAAGTTAGCCAACAGGGAGGAAGTTTCCAGTTTGATTTTCCTATGTTCTGCAGTCAAAGTATATGGCATCTTCAGTGGTAGGGTCTTACCATCAGGTTCTGATGGGCAAGCAAGAGCAATGGCAATAGACTGTTGTTTTCTGGGGGGTCCTCTGGAACCTGTGTTACAATTTACAGGGAGTTGCATTTGTATGCATGTGTGAAAGCTAATGTGGACCAGGTAGCCTTCTATAGTTAACAGGTGGCAATACTCTCCTTCATTGCTTCCACAGACATTCGGTACCCTTCTAAATGACTTTTCTGAACCACAGTGTACTCAAGAAGTCATATACAGCACCGCTGCTCACTCCTTTGTCCCTTTTCCATGCTATATGAAATACGTAAATCTCATGTGCTTTAGGTTGCAAATCCTTCACCTTCAGGGAATATGTAGTTGCTATGTTATTTGAGATCTATATAGGTCTATTTTGTTACTCTCATTTTTTTTCCTCCTGTTCTTTACCTCTGCCTTTCCCAAATAAGCTTTGTTTCCACCATGTCTGCTTTAGACTTTATGATTCTTAAAATATGCAAAGGTTACAGGTTATCACTGGGGTTACTCCATATTCATGGAAAATGGGATTCTGGCATTTCCTATGATCCTTTGCCTTTGGGTTTTTTGTGTACCTCCTTTTCTCATCTTGGGTTTATGCCTGGTATTAGTAACTTTTAGTAGCTCTTTATAGTTCGTTTCTCCAAAAATGAAGTCCATAGGCTTCCACAACTCATTTTCCTTGTTTCTTTGTATTCTATCAGATTATGTGCTCTTTATGGGTTACTTTTATGCTGGGTGTTTGATAAACATGTTAAAAAGATTTCTAAGGTTCCATATATTGAGATCAGGTTTCCATAGGTGTAGGGTGAAAGCTGGGAATGCCTATTAAAAGGCATCTGTTGGAATTCAGGTACTAATGGTAGATTGCACCTCACTGGTAACTCTGGGCATAGTGAGATGTGCTTGAACTGTGGCACTATTTTGAAAGAAAGTAGATCTGGAACTTTTATTAGATTGGTGGTGAGGAGAGTTACCAGCTGTGTGTCTTAAAATCCTTCTCTGTACTGGGGACTCCAGACAGGCCTTAATTAGGTAGGACCTGTTCTAAGAAAGAACTACCTTACCCACCTGCCACAACGAACAGCACTTTACTCATCAAGAGGCCTTTGGTGTAACGAGCTTCTTAGTAGAAAAACTTTTTGTGTTACGGGTCCATTGTAGAGATGATAATCCCTTTGGGCTCTGCTCTATCTTTCTTGGTCTTAGAAACCTCACTGGGGCCTTCTACATTCTTAGAGGTTGGTTCATGGACACCTGTTGTGATTAATGCTGCAACCAGCTATCCATATAAAGGCCGAGAGCTTGCCCAGCTGTTTGTTGTCTTACAGACTATTCTGATGACTGCTTTAAGCTACTCCAGCTCGGGGCTGGAGAGATAGCTTAGGGGTTAAGAGCACTAGCTGCTCTTGCAGAGGACCCAGGTTCAGTTCCCAGCACCTATATGATGGCTACTAACCATCTGTAACTCCAGTTTCAGGGGATCCAACACCTCTTCTGGCCTCTGTGGGCATTGTATGAGATGGGTACACTTAATACACATGCAGGCAAAATACTCGTAAACATAAAATCAAAAAGAAAAATTAAAAAGTTACTCCAGTTTGCCACCCCCCCCCAAAAAAATCCTTGGTTAAAAAGAATGGCTTCCAAGTCTGCTATACTTTAAAGTGTATATTTAAATTGTAGCTCTCTCTACATAGGGTCATTTTTTTTTATTATTATTAAAGTCCATTTCCTCTTCTGGAAATTTGTCAGAATTTGTTATCCCCTTCCACATCTGCGATGGTCATTTTTTATTTTTGTTACTGTATATTGAGAAGGAGGACAGACAAGCTTCTGCCATCTTGATCTGATTGTCTGTATTGCTTCTTTAAGAATGTGAGAGGGTGGGGTAGGGATATAGAGCTTGGTGGTAGCTACCATTCTATAGCTAGCTATTAATAGCTACCCCTAACATGCACAAGATCCTGGGTTCAATCTCAGGTACCAAATGCATACATACATAAATGAAGGGGGAGGGAAAATTGGAATGGATAAGATTTTTTATTTTTATTATTTTTAATTTTTGTGTATTTCATACAGAACATCTTGGTCATCTTTATACCCTCTTCCCCATCGGCACCCTACGATAGCCCCCTCACTGGAATTCAGGCATTCTGTCATTTGTGTTAAGGCCTATCAGGTCTAGTTTCCCCAGATGTCCCCCAGTGAAATTCATCCACTGAGGTCTCTTCATCTTATCTAGAGTCCCTCACTTAAGAAGATCAGCTCTTTCTCATCCAGCAGTAATAAGCTGCCAGTATTTCTTTGGATTGAGATTTGGCCTGCTGCCCATTTCCACAGTTCTGTGCTGGGTTTTTGTCTGAGTTTGCATGGGCCTTGTGCATGCTAACACCATTGTAAGTTCATATGAGCAAGGTCCCAGGACCCTGTAGGATTCTATATGGTCATGTACTTCCTTCCTGGCTCTTACAGTCTTTCTGCCCCCTGTTCTGCAATGGTCCCTGAGCCATGGGTAGGTGGAGTTTAATATAGGAGTCCTGTCAAGGACCAGTATTCTGCACTCTTATTCTCTACACTTTGGCCATTTGTGTCCTTTTGTGTTCATGGCCCTCTGTTGCATGAGAGACCTTCATTGATGAGAGAGATGCATTAGTGTTCTTGCTACCCTATTCCATTATGTTCTGTGAGCCTTAGGTGAAGAGGTTGCATTGTAGATGTGTCACTTAGGCTTGGACAATTCACAGATAATCTGTGTGTGACCAGTTGTGGAACTCTGCAATAATCTCTATCTGTTGCAAAAGAAGCTTCTTTGATGAGTGGTGACTAGCATACTTATCTGTAAATATGAGAATCCGTATTTTGTACATAGTAAGAAATTACATTTATCTAGGAATGTATCAGCCTTGGGATTTTCTTTAAGATCTATGACCTGTGAAGCCATATGTATTTGGCTATGTTTACAGTACCACACTTGAGTTCTCTCCCATTGAGTGGGCTTCAAGTCCAATTAGGTAGCTGTTGATTACTCCCCAAGATAAAAGTGCCACTACTGCCCCAATATAGTTTGCTGTGCCAGTCATTGATGTGGTTATTAGGCCTTAAAGCTGAGGTTGGACCATCGATTAATGTTCTCCCTTAGCATCTTGTGTAGTACTTTCCAAAACTATGAGAACTAGCCTTCAGGGGAAGTGGCTTCCAGGTCAGTTCCAGCTCCATTGCTCTAAATCCTGTGTCCGAAGTATGTTCTGTCTTTGGCAGTAGGGTCTTACCTTCAAGTTCTGGGAGGCCATCAAGGGCTGTGGTAACAGCCTGTGTAATTTTGGGAGTCTCTTGGACTACCCTGGTCAACAACTCAAAGGAAGGGTTCTCCTGTCTGGCATTGCTTCTTGTTATTGTAGCCTTCAACTATACACATGGACTCATGTAGAGATATTGTCTATATAATTTTTCAGAATGTTTTTGAACTAATTGATTTGATTCCCTCTGGTGTTTTACACTAGCTAGGCATTATGTATCTCTTCCTTGCTTTCCCTGTCTAACCCTCCCCCCATGCCTTTTCCAGGTAAAGTGTCCCCATTTTCCCCTTTTCTCCCTTGATGATACCTGTCTGCGATGGTCCTCCCTCTCTTCAGCTCCTTCTTCCCCTTTCCCCCCCATAGTTTGTTGTATAACCCTCCTTCTCCCCCTCTCATTTATCCATATTTTATCCATTTCCCTCTTAGAAACACCTGTATCCTACTTCTCTCAGGTTCCTTCTTTTTATCTCCTTGGTTTCTTTCCATTTTCCTGGCTCCTGAAGTTACATTACGATACATCTCACATATAAGGATTTGGTACTAGGATCCACAAATGAGGGAGAACATACATTGTTTGTTTTTCTGAGTCTGTTACTTCACTTAGTATAACTGTTTCTAGTTCCATCCATTCAACCTGCACATTTCATGATTTTGTCTTTCTTTACCACTGAGTAGAACTCCACTGTGTAAATAAATCACATTTTCATTATCCACTTGTCAATTGAGGGACACTTAGGTTGCTTCCATTTCTTAGCTATTGTGAAAAGAGCAGCAACAAACATGGATGTACAAGTGTCTCTGCAATAGGAGGAATCCTTTGGGTATATGCCAAGCAGTGGATCAAATGGCAGGTTCATTTTTAGCTTTTTAAGAGTTCTCCACACTTCTTTCTGTAGGGGTTGCACAAGTTTGCAATCCCACCAGCAGGGGATGAGCGTTCCCCTTTCCCCACATCCTCTCTAGCATTTGATATCATTTGTTCTCTTGATCTTAGGCAATCTGACTGGGGTAGGATGAAATCTTAGTGGTTTTAATTTGCATTTCCCTAATTACTAATGATGATAAACACTTTTTAAGATTTTTTTTTTTAGACATCTTTATTTCTTCTTTTGAGAACTCTCTGTTCATATCCTTAGCCCATCTTTTAATTGGCTTATTTGTTTTCTCAATTCTTCGTTTTTTGAGTTCTTTATATATTCTGAATGTTATATATTCTGTTGGATGTGTCGCTGCTTCTTCCAAACTATCAACCATAGTTGTCAATGCGGGTTTTCTTTTTCCAGTGTCTTTCTTTCCTATGCAGTGGTCATTTAAGTCTTGGTGGTAAGAGTGCTCAGTACAAGGTACTGATATTAAGATACCTTGAAGGAGATATGAGGAGATAATGTGGAAGGGTGGACAAGTAAACCAGTCAGAATGAATTCTGAATGGGAGTAAAAAAATGTTAGCATTTTTTTGTAGGTTTGTGAACAAAATTGTGAGAATGATGCCATTTAGGCTCTTAGCAACAATGAGTGACGGGGCTAGGAATGAGGACTTTAGTCCCAAGTTTGTAGGACAAGTAAATGCACCAAATTGTAACTCCCCTAACAGCATTTTCCTAAACATTTTAACAGCCATTCAGGATTATGAAGCTGCTCAGGAACACAATGAAAATGATCAGCAGATTCGAGAAGGTCTAGAGAAAGCACAGAGGTTACTGAAACAGTCCCAGAAACGAGACTATTATAAGATCTTGGGAGTAAAAAGGTGAATTATTAAAGTTGGCATGTATGTTTAATCAACCATTTTAAAGCTAATCATCACTCCTGTCTTAACGTTCTTCATTTTATTTACTCATATAATTTTAATGTTATGGTCAAGTTTCTTTGATAGAGACCAGTGATACACTAATAGAGAATTATAAGTTGGTGGTAATGGCTGTGAGACAAATGGGTCCTAGGCTAGACTTTTTAGGAATGGTTAAGAAGTAGAAGTGTGCTTTATTTTAGTGAGGATGGGAGGAGGGAGAGAGGGAATAAGGGGAGAAAAAACAAAGACCCATTTCTCTGACTAGGTAGACTGTCAGCTTTTATTCTAAAGTTTAAAACTTAATATTCTTACTATTAATAAAGCTCAATCCAAAGCACAAGGTTCAAGAGAACATAGTTTTAATGCCCAGGAAGAACTGAATTATGGCCATGTGAAAATTCAGAAAGAGATAATTGTAAAGATCTGTACTTGATTCTAAGATAACTTAGTAAACAGTGTCTAAGGAAGCCTGGAGTTACAGCTGAGTGATAGAGGGCTTGCCTCACATGTGTGAATCCCTAGATTCAATCCTCAGTACTGCTCAAAAATAAAGAAAATGCCTATATGCCCAATCTTTGGCCAATACCTGTGGAACTACTAGGAAAACAAGGTTGTGAATCATTAACAGACTCATACGTACATATAGTTTAATACATGTTTGCAGTGCTGTGATTAAACCTAAGGTCTTATGTATACGAGACAAGCCCTGTACTACTAAGTTGTATCCTCAGCCCTTGAGAGAACTCTTGTCACATAGCTTTTCTGATTTTTATGAAAGTAGGTTTGGCTCTTCTTAACTGACAGTTAACTAATTTCCCACCCTTCAGAAATGCTAAAAAGCAAGAAATCATTAAAGCATACCGAAAATTAGCACTTCAGTGGCATCCAGATAATTTCCAGAATGAAGAAGAAAAGAAAAAAGCTGAGAAGAAGTTCATTGATATAGCTGCTGCTAAAGAAGTCCTCTCTGACCCAGGTACCTTCTGCTTTTAGGATCTTTCTGTTTCTTGAAACAGCGCAGTTGGTGCGTTATTAGCTCCCTGATTCCTTTTCCTATCTCAGGGCAGAGGTGAGAGGTGGACAACAGGGTGGGTGCGCTGTGAGGCTTATGACTGACTCTTGGTCTTTCAGTTTTCACCAGTCCAGCCCGCCTGACGCTGGAGATCCTCAGATAAATGGTACAGTGAAAAGTATGGAATAAATTTTTCTACTTAAACACGTTCCTACAGTTTCTTAGCCTTAATTTTTTTCAACCATCATATGAAAGCACAACAAAAATATCACTTAGGCTCTTGCTAAAAATCTTTGGTCAGTGATGAATTCTCTGTACCAAATTCTCAAGTATCCCAAGAGCCAGTAAGGAAACCAGTATGCAATACAGGATTACAGAGAAGTGGGAGAAGAGTAAATAGCTAGCTAGGGCCTATTGTCCCCCCATGGATATCAGCAGTTTTTCCCTAAGAACAGACTTACTGGTTAGTATGTGTTACTGTATATTAATCTTACCTGGAAAGGAAGAGAGAAACAGGCTAAGAATTCACACATACTGCTTTTCTTAGTTTTCCTTATTAGTGGGAGTAGACATTCTAATTTAAGCTAGACAGATTCAACAAGAAGAAATTAAGTTTTGTTCCTTCAGCAAATCTTTTCTGAGTGCCTGTTTATGCTACAGAATTGATGCTAACAAACTGATCCTTTCTGTGCCCTATTAAATATATTAGGGGCACACCACCTGTTCTGTTTAGTCAATGTCAAGTGCTTACAATATCCCTTGAATGTAGTATAAGGGTGGGGTAGCTTATCAGACCTAGAGTTGGAGTTGGCTAATACCTCCAAATCCCTCAAGACTCATCTATCACCTGTATAAAGAAAAGACTACAGGTCCTTTTCTCTAGCTCCTGATCTTAATCTCTAGATGGTCTTTGCTTTTTTCCCATCCTTTCAGTGTTCCTCATTGTGTTCTTCATGAGTCTGCATTGCTCTCTGGGAAAAAAGTGAGCCTTTTGTAGTGGTGTATTACACTTGCTGGGCTGAATAATGGGGCTCTAGAAAGCTCATTAGATACTTTGTGGAGGGGGACTGTTGAGGTTCTTGCCTGGTAGGCTTCACTTTTGAGGGCTAAGGTAGTGACTGACATGCTGTTTTGTAAGAGCATTAGCTCTCCTTGGAATTATTTTTCCTCTGGGTAAGAATGGAAGTATGAATTTGAGTATTAGGCACAATTGTTTTGCTAAATGAAATGGAAAGTAGTTCCCCAAACCCCATCCCTATATCTTAGTTAATATTTGGGTCTTAATTTGTTGGTTTCTTTTCTAGAAATGAGAAAGAAGTTTGATGATGGAGAAGATCCCCTTGATGCAGAGAGCCAACAAGGAGGTGGTGGCAACCCATTCCACAGAAGTTGGAACTCATGGCAAGGGTTCAATCCCTTCAGCTCAGGCGGACCATTTAGATTTAAATTCCACTTCAATTAAACCAACTGTTTTACTGCTCCTCTTCTTTTTTTTGTTTTATAAACCTTTAAAACAAAAAATTTGTTCTGGGATCCTAATGGAAAAAAATATTCAAATCTTTTTGTTTGCCCATGACCAAAGAGTTGTTTGAATAAGAAGAAAAACTTTTCTTATTTTAGACTTAAGATTGATGGGTCTGCAAAGGTAGGGAGCAAGGAACTGTTCTGTTTCTCACAAAGAACCCTATAATCATTTCACAGCTATCTGGAAGAAGTTGTCTGATGTGTTTAGCCTATAGAAGTGTTCATATATCGCCTGTATTTTTTATTTTTTAAATAACCCTGGATTAACATAGAGGTTCTTCTCTCCACAGCTTTGCATAGTACCTATAAGGAGGAGTGGTAATCTTCATGAGAATGGTTTATGTCTCAGTATTCTTAAAGAGAATATGAACAGTTGAACTTAATTTTCTTAGGGACAACTATGCTTAGATTTTGGTCAGTCCAGTCACTTGCAAGTGTTTATTCCTGTACCAGTGTCAACACAGCTATCACTGAAGGTTTTAGGAAACTTACCATGGTAGATGGTATGTCCAGGTATAGACTGGCTTGATGTTAAGCATATACCAATTTAACTTGAATTTAATTATAAAAACTTAGAGGGCCTTCCTTTAAATGTTAAACTTAAAAGCAGTTAAAGTTTGTGAATGAAGTTCAGATAATATCAGTGGTATTTGAAATAATATTACTGAATGTCAATTTGAAATACTTTTTTTTTCTTTTTTTGTCTTTTTGAGACAGGGTCTCCTTGTAGCACCAGCTGTCCTGGAACTCACTATGTAGACTAGGCTGGCCTCGAACTCACAAAGATCCACCTGCCTCTGCCCCCCAAGTGCTGGGACTAAAGGCATGCGCCACAACGCCCGGCTTGAAATACTTTTTAAACAACTGAAGTTCCAAGTTTTTTAATAGGCATTTCCTGAACAAAACTGGCTTAGAAATGAGGTTGCTCTATCAGCATCAGCAAACACAGAACACCACAATTCCCACTTTTAAATAGTACAGGAAAGCAGCCTCTTTTTCTCTTACATCTGGTCTGTCTTAGCTGTGCTGTTTTCTGATATATTGGACAGCAGATCTGCCTCATTGGGCCTGGATCCTCCTGCTTAGAAGAAAGTACAGGCCTGCAAATCCACTGAGCTCTGGCTATGCACCCACTGTCATTTCATTTAATAAGATGGTGTTTTCTCCTGAGATATCCTTTTGTTTTTTAAAAGATAACTATTTAAGAATCGTACTATTCAATATTTGTATACTGGATAATTTTTGCTTTAAAAATGTGTTACTAAATCAAGATGGTTGAATATTTGTGGAACTACTGATGCTACATTGAAAATCTAAAAGAATTACTCTCGTAAGAATTATTACCTTTATTCTAGAAAGGTTTTTGGTTTTGTCTTAACATTTTAAGCATAAAGCATCTAATATATTGCTTTTATGAAGTAAAGCATTTTAAATTCATTATGGGAGGTATCTTGACTGTGAATATAGCAGCCAAGCACAAATTATTTTCTTAACCTACAGTCATATCCTTAAAAAAACACAGAAAAAGGTTTTTTTTTATGAGGTCACAAGTCACATAGGTGAGTTGAGCAAAACATTTAAAAGTGCTTTTTGCCTCTACTTAGGAGCTATTTCTTATCAATAAACTTAACAATATATTTAAAAAACTATTGAATATCTTTCAGCTTTCATTTTGCTTCAGTGTCTCAAAATTCAAGTCAGTGTGAATCTAATTTGCAAGATAAATTCATTTTTATGTTTTTAAATCTTAGTAATCTCATTTCTTCACTACTTACGAAACAGTTGTGTTTCAATCTGGTCACTGTGACATTTTTTGAAATACAGTGATAGTCTCTGTGTACTTTCAAAAGCTAGAGTTTTACTGTCATAACAAAGGAAACATTATTAAGTTGCTTGCCCTTCCTTTTGGAGTAGGTGGAAAGTTGCCAATAACATGAAGCAAGGGGCATTTTGAGATGGTTGAATGCTGGGCTGCATAGAATGTGTGTCCCAGATCTAGCTGCCTCCTAATTTGCTTCCTAGAGATTGTTGCATTTTCCTCCTTACTTGTAACAATCAAAGTAACTGAGGCCTTAGTGTAGTCTTGCTAACCAAAATGTGTAGTTATTTGTGTTCAGTGGAGTGAAATGACAAACTTTGGTGCCAATGCCATGGAGAAAAACACAGTTGGATCTGTTTTGCAGATTAGTGAAATAGGAGTTCCATTCTGGATGGCCATCAGCAGTCCTCTGGTGTCTACACTAATAAGTATTATCCTTAAACAGCACTGGAAAGTCCTGGTTGAGTAAAAGGTCAGAATAATTCTTCCCCTGACCTGCCTGACATAGTATATCATGCAGTATAAAAAGCATTTTCTTTTTTTGCACTTCCAGTTTCTGTTTTTAGGGACTACAGGTAGCAAGTAACCTTTGTGACAGTTCTGGGAAAAAAAAAATGATCAAAGCTCACCTTTAGCTGAATTCAATTCTGTTTTTAGCCTTCCCTTCCTCTTTGGTGAGCTCTTTGAGTGCAGTGTTATCTGTCTGTACCCAGTGGATGTCCTTCACAGCAGGAAGAATGAAAGACATCACCCTATAATATGGGGAAAACAAAAACAAAAAAAAAACCAAAGGAGACTTCTTTTAATTTACTCCTCAGTTCTGCAAGTTTGCTATTTCTACCATGAATAGCAGAAAATGTAAAAATAATTCCAATAGTTTACTAATGTGAGTTGGATGTAACATCTTAAAGGTATCCTTCTTAGTCAGTGTTAAAAAGTTTTTTTTTTGTTGGAATCAAACCTGGGTCCTCTGAAAGAGCAACCAGTGCTCTTAACTGCTGAGCCATCTCTCCAGTCCCAAGACAGTTAGTGTTAAAAAGTTTTTTTTTTGTTGTCTTTTTGAGACAGGGTCTCCCTGTAGCTCCAGCTGTCCTGGAACTCACTATGTAGACCAGGCTGGCCTCAAACTCACAAAGATCTGCCTGCCTCTGCCTCCCAAGTGCTGGGATTAAAGGCGTCACCACCACGCCCAGCCCAAAAGTTTATTTTTAAATAGCAGTATGGAAAACAAATTATTGGAGTTCTGATAATGGAATTTAAAATTACTTGACATTTTTAAAAGAAAAATGCTGGCAAGCATGGTGGTATGTACCTGTAAATCCCAGAACTTGGGAGGCTGAGATAGGAGGATCACTTACTTTGGGGCCAGGCTGGATTAGAGTGAGACTGCTTCAAAAATAGAGCCCCCACAAGGGGAAGAAGGAAGGAGATAGTTTGCTAACTAAGTAGAAGGCCAGTAGTGAGTCATCATTATCCATTCCTGGCAGAAAATGGCATTTCATTAGTCAGAGGTTGTGTTTTGACTTTTACCATGAAGAAAGAAGGTAAGATGCACAAGTTAGAAATAGCTGCTTAGGCTTATGTGGGAGCTGACTTGCCTTATAGATACTGGACACTGGTAAATAAGGCCTTATGAAATGTTTTCAGTAAGTACACATCAGTGGGATAATCTGAAGAAACAGTTTTCTTGAATGTATTTTTACTTTCCCACAGTTATAAAGGAAGAAGGAAAATACTAAGTTTTAACAACTAATGTCTTATTCCAGATCTTATCATTCCTTTTCCTTTAGTAGCAGAATTTATTCTGTAATTTCAAATGATGTTAAGAGGGGGAGATAGTTTTTGTCTTTTTACAGATGATCTCATTTGCTGAATGATTTAAGAGTAATATTAGCCACTGCGTGGCTTTGTGTACAGAAATAGGTTTTGTTGCACATGTTTGTGGATAATATAGTTACCTGTGCATAGAAAAGCAGGGCACAGGGAAGATAAAAATGGGAGATGTTCGATAACTTAAAAGATTACATTTGTTAAAATGGGACAAACTTAATCCATTTCAATTTAGTGTTTTAATAAAAAAGGAACTAAAATTATTTCAAATGGGGGCTCACATATGTCTGAATATGGGCACTATTTTTATGCCCTTGTATTTTCACATTTAATAAAAATATTTATGGTCATATCACTACTTTCTTGCTTTTGATTCTTGGTTAAACTTTGAGTAAAAAATATTCTAACAAAGACCATCTTAGAAGTGCATTTCCAACTTTATTTCCCACAAAATTAGTGATTGCGTTGATAAAAGCTCTCTATTATGTGAGTTGACAGGAAAGGTCAGAGCATAAAATGTAGATATGATTTAAATCTTTTAACCACCAAATTCGAGGAAACTGGGACATACCTACATGTAGGTAGTAGTACACGCATACACATAAAAAAATAAAAATAATAAAATATTAAAAAATATATGTTAGATTTTAATATTAAAATCTAACAAATTGGCTTTGTTTGAAGACTTTCTCTTTTACCCTATATTGTGTGATACTATTCCTGGGGAGAGGTGAACAAATGTCCACTTCACCCCAAATAGAGAATTGAGTTTTGTGGGGATTACTTACAAGAGTGTGGGTGAGGGGTTACTTACAGGTGCAGAAATGACTCAAAGGCTGCATCACCGAAGGCTCACTCCAGCACGGGTGACGACTCATGAAAGCAGGAAATGTGGGAGCACACTGCACAACCTTCAGGCAACTCAACAGGTTGGACAATGTCTTTTCTAGGCAGGTGAATTCACCTCTGCTGCTTTCAGGTGGCTTGGTTGTTCTGGGAGTCTTCTAGGAAGCTCAGCTCCTCTGAGTGTTTCTTAGCAGTCCTTAGGGCTTATATATGCTTGAGGAGGGAGGGGCCTAGTGAAGCTGGTCAATTTTAGAGACTTCTTGAAGCTACAGAGTTGTTTACCTCCTGAGCTTAAGGATCTACCCTGCAGGATGGAATGTTTATCTCCCTTTAGAACAGCCTGTTGTTTACTGAGCTTCCCTCCAAAGATGGCAAGTTTCATCTAGGAGGAAATTGCTACAAAACATCCAACTAGTTCATTTCTGTTGTCTGAAGATGTCAATAGGTAAAAGAGGCCCAGCACTGCCTGACAGTAGGAAGCGCAAAGGACATTCACATTCTTTTCTCTGAGCCTCTAGCATTCCTTTAGAAGGCACTAGCTCCTGTCACTCCCCACCTCTAGATCTGGGTTTCATCATCTTTAAAAAAATAAATACAATTATCATCTTAAGGCTTACAGTTTACACCCCAGGATGATGAAATCTAAAAACTTTTTTTCTGCTGAGCAAATTATTCAGGAGATGGTTGACAAACAGAATCATAAATGCACACTTTTTGTCATAAAGGTACAGTTTCTGCCATTTGTCCAGTTTCTGCCATGGTCCTATAAAAGCTCTAGACAAAGGAGTTTGACAGCTTTTTCCTCTCTTGGCAACCCCTATCACTCTTGGGATTTCTCTCTTCAATTTCTGAATTTTCTGTAATCTTAATAAATTCTGCTTCTGCTTTGTGTACTCTCAGGCGAGCCTGTATTAATCTTCACTGGCACTTGGAGCCACCATTCTAGGTCATCTTTGACCATGAGTGTCTGGCATCTTTGATCCTTGGGTGATGCAAACTGGGCTGTGAACGTTATTTCTCTCGTGCTCTATGCTACTTCATTTGCCCTGTACTTCACTTTCCCAGTTAAAAATTTAACAAACTAACTCATTCTTTAGAAGTCACTTAAGTCTATTAAATTAAGAGTAGTGGGTAAGACAGTAGGGGAATATTGGTAGACTTTTTTGGCTCTAAGCACAGGTTCATCAGCACCTTTGATTTGATCTCTGGAACCACAGATCTGAGACTAGCCAGTCCTGATGTTCACTGTCAGAAGCTAAATTCTTTGACCTGTTTTGCTGCTATGTTTCAGAGAAGAAAATTCCTCTCTGAAGAAATAGTAATACTTTAATCACCAAAACATGCTCTGAAGTGTCATTACTTACTGCCTCTGTTCTCTTGAAGTCTCTTGTGGGTAGTGGCCACAATATTTCCTCGGCAGGTGCTGGAACTAGGACCTGGCATAGGCACAAACTTTGGGCTCCTGCTTGTGTCAAGCTACATTTTCACTACTAATGAAAAGTTGATACTTAATTCCAGGTGACATGGCTGGTGATACTTGATTCTATTCCTTATAGGGACCAGAGGGCAAACTAGAACTATCTGAGCACTTCTGAAAGAAAACCTTAAGCATCTAAAAGCTTATCTGAATACTATGAAAACCTTGGGTTTTCTTCAGCTTATATTTGGAATGGTTTACTGTAATCACTAAGACTTAACTGTTATATGTTAAAGCTCAAGCTATCTTAATTCCTAACTTTGGTAATCTGCCATCTCTCACTTTCTCTTAAGGAAGGAGGGAGAGAAAACTATTCACAGTTCCAAAATGTAGTATACATTTCCAGGGTTCAATTTTTTGTTAAAATGTATTGGGACCTACACTGGAGAACCAGATTTCAGGATCCTAAACATAGCCCCTGGATTGCACTATTGGCCATTCCCATCAATACAGAACTGGATGGTTTCCTCTGTAAGGGTTGCTCCACACTCACTCAAATTAGACTTAGAGTCATTTACAGGAAAGTATCCCCAAAGAAGGTGGATTATCATATGGTTAGTGGTTTGGATGCATTGACAGCTCAACAAATTCCAAATTCAATGGAATTTAAGAATGGGCCATTTTATCAACATCCCTGTTAAGAAATGTGTAATTCATAAATCTGGATTTTCTGATACACTAGTTATCTAGAAACAAGACATGTAAATTTAGTCATTCAAAATCACAAGATAATAGGCGGGAAGGGAGCTATCAAGTCTGGTTATTTTCAGGTAAAAATTAAAATGTAATTTGAATACCTTAACTAACAAAAACTGTATGGAGAGGGAGAGTAAACTTTCTCTGACTTAGGTGGAACAGCTAGGGCAAGGATACTATTAAAGTTTGGATTTTTAGTATCCCCTAAAGCCCATATTTTGAAAGGCTTGGCTGCCACCAGCCTTTGGTGCTACCTGAGGTGGTGGAACCTTTTGAGAGGCTGAACCCAGTGAAAGGAAGTTAGGTCACTGGTGGCATGCCCTTGAAGGGTATTGAAACTCTAGCCCCATTTTCTTCATCTCTTTGCTTCCTAGTAGCCATGAGGTAAATAGCCATGTTGTTCTGTGCTGCCATTGGCCCAAAGCAATGCGGCCAAGTAATCATGGACTAAAACTAACTGAAAGTAAATTTATCTTCAGTTAAGTTGTTTATCTGGATATTGTGTCATAGCAATAGAAAACTGATGAACACGGGTTTTCAAATTCTCCATTGGATATGCTGTCAGATATAGAAAGATTAACCTAGTTTTTATGAGCTAAAAGGAGTAAGAGGCACAGATCACTTCTGGCTTAGTGTGGAACTATGTGTATAAACTCGTCCAAAGATGAATGAGTCTGTCTCTAGAGGTAGAGGGTTCCTCATTAACCTGGAGATTTTGAAGATGCCCTGAGGCTCCATATGATAGAATCCTGAATGGGCACCAGGAACACTAGTCAACCACTAAATTCTTATTAAATGTTTTCCAAGCAGAATCTGGACAGTTTTTTAAACAGGCATTTCCCATGGTCATGTCAGACCTACTAGAGGTATCCAACCTTCTTATTAAATGTTTTCCAAGCAGAATCTGGACAGTTTTTTAAACAGGCATGATTTCCCATGGTCATGTCAGACCTACTAGAGGTATCCAACTTTTTGACATTGGCATTTACAAGTGTGTGAGTTGTATTCATAGTCATCTTTGGGATGCATGCAGTCCATGGCACACATGCAGCTATGGAGCCAGAGATTGGACATGTCTGATAGACATTTCAGAGGATGAGATGCAAATGACACTAAGATCTCATCTAGTCCCAATATCCTATACTTATAGAATATTTGGATAGTTTAAAAATATTTACTGTTCTTATCCATTTAATAAAATGTAACAGGGGAACTAAATGTTTACATCCTTAGTTTCTATAAACATATTCAGCCCTTTTGAAAAAACATACATACATACATACATACATACATACATACATACATATGTGACTGCGTATAATTTTATGAGATGTACTTGTTTTTTAATGTTTCTAATTATAACATCAGGTTAAATCCTCATATGGTTTAAGATAAATAAATTACAACATAACTCCCATTTAAAAATGATAGTTAAAAGTAAAATATAAAATGGGTTTCTTATTCAGAGATAACCATGAGTATATTTTCTTTAAAGAAAGCCCCACAACTTGCTTTGATTTTAAATGCATTTTGTGAGTAAACAAACATGGATATGCACAAACCTGGAATATAAGATACTGATAGTGTGATAAACACCCATGAAGACCAGCTGGTCAAATACCTTCTGTTAATATCTGATCTGACCATACATCAAATTTTTAACTTGTAAAAAATCAGTTAAAAATCTAGCTTTAGATATTCAAGGGAATTTATCATATAACTTATTTTTAAACTTTAAATGTATTTTAAATATCTAAAATTTAAAAAACAAAAAACAATTAAATTGAATGTCACTAATTTGAATGAAACTTCCTACTGGTCTTAGCAGTTCCACAAATTCCCAGCAGGTGGCAGAGTTTTCATCAAACTTTGATCTCTTCACATGTGTACCAGTGCTAGAGTTCATCGTGTACTGAAACTGCAGGGAAAGGAAAGTTTGTTTAGTTTATGAAATTTCAAATATGAAATTAGCTTAAATGCCACCAAGGGGTGGAATATATAAAAAAGCACAAGTGTTGACAGAATCTTGTGTATTAGTTGAATACCTATGTTGTCATATGATGTGAGAATAGCTCTTACACATTTTGGTACCCATTGTAACAATCATAAATATTTGTCTTTTTAACCACCTAGAATGTGATCTTCCACAAGTGTATGAGAACTAGTAACGCACCTTATTTATGTCATTGCTAAGATCTCTATATATCCACAAAGAATTTTATGAAAAAGCATTGAAAATATAAACATGACATAGGATTAAAATCTCATATGGTTTTAAGAAAAAGGATACTAGATACTAAATAATAGATTAGGCAACATGCACAAATTATCTGCCATTACCATTATGTGTAGTCCTAAGACAGGAAGTCAGTATTCAGACATATACCTAAGTAATAAGTACCATACAAATGTGAAATCAAATCTAATGAAGACTCTTAAGAGAACAAAATGGTGGAATCTCTATATTATTCACATACTCTAACTGGCTTAAGAGCATCAGAACGCACAGTGATATTTATAGACAGAAGTTAAAACATAACTGAAACAGCCTACTCAATTTGAGATGCCAGATTATCTCTTCATTAAATTCCATTGCCAAGATGATAAATATAAAAGAATAATATTAATTGGATGAGTAGACAGGAGACATTATTGCAGCAGTTATTAATGATTATCTAGAAATTAAAGAGAGTATGCTGATACATAAAATCTCTCCAGGATACAGAGCCGAGGTGATGAGCTGGCTTTTCTGATGCAGGATGCTAGGTCCTCCTAATAGAGAACACAGGCAGAAGTCAGCCAGTGAAGCAATGCTTGCAGGATTATCTGTGGGAAAACCCAGGTTGTCAGCTCTACACTATGATTCTACATTGCAAAGAGAAACTGTAAGCATGCTATTTATTTCAGGATAAAAAGTGGAAATAGAGTCCTACAAGCTTCTGGGTCCCCATTCATATGGACCTATAGCAATGGTATCAGTATGCACAAGACCCATGCAAACTCAAAAACCCAGTATAGAACTGTGGAAATGAACAGGAAGCTCCAATCTTAGCCAAGGAACTATTGTGCAGCTGATTACTTACTGCTGGGTGAGGAAGCGCTGATCTTTAAGGGACTGACTCTACATAGGCTAACTAGACTCCAGTGAATCAGTTTGCATTGAGGGACGTCAGGGGACACTAACTTGAATGGGTAGGTCTTAACATAAATGACAGAATGCATGAAGTTCAGTGGGGGCGGGGGGGAAAAGGATTAAGATGATGATTATGAAATAAAAGTTCAATAAAAATATTAAAAAATTATAGGGGCTGCAGAGATGGCTAGGCAGTTAATACTACTTGCCCTTCCAGACGACCCAGGTTCAGTCCCCAGCACCCACATGGCTGCTAACAGTGGTACATATTCCTGTCTATATCAGCAGCATTCTTTAAAGTGCAGCTGAGCTTTTTGGGAGGTCTTTTGGGCTGTAGCATTGCTGAGATCCTTTATGATCTTTGTGTTTTTCTTCTTTCTAGCTTTCAACAAAATGTTGAAATCTGAGGCTGAAAATAACAGTACCTAAATACTATAAGAATATGTTAATCTATCCACAAAAGTATGAAATATATCTTATAGACCCCCCCCAAAAAAAGTGAAATCCCATTTTTGAAATAAAATGGTGAGTTTTATTTTTTCTTTTCAATGGGTGTGGATGCTCACTAGTGTCTCATTTGGCATTTTGGGGTGGTATATGGGGATGGGCTTTCTTCTGTTTTTTACCCATGTACCGACAGGGAAGCTTATCAGTTATACACTATGCCCACCTACCACTGCCAATTAATCCTCCTATCCAGGCAAGCAACCTACTGAAGACACAGACATGTTACACCATAGCAGAGGGAACCTTCGCTATCAATCTATTGTGGCCAGTCTCCTCTGTTATTCTTAACTATGTACAAACAGCAAATAAGCTCTATATTTGAAAAGGACAAATAACAAAAAGGAATAAGGGCCAAAATAAGGACACAAAACAGCTTACCATGAAAACACAGGTACCCAAGAAACCCAAAATGATAAATTCTAATTGTTATTTTCAAGAGATGCCTGAAAAGTCAGTGAAACCATAAAAATCAAAAATGGAATTAAAAGGAAGCAAGCAGAGAAAATAAAGTTTTTGGAAATTAAGGAAGGATTATTCTCTTAAAAAATCAACAGAAGAATTAAGGAAAAAGTCAAGGAATCTCAAAAGAGATGGGAGGGAAAAATATATTAAAAATGTATCATTAAGAAAATAGTTCTATTTGTAGTAGCATTATAAGAACAAAATATTTGAAAAAACCCAAGTGAGAAAGTTAAACCACCTGTACAACTACAAAAATTGCTGAAGTAAAAGAAGACACAAATGAATGGGAAAATATTTCATGTTCATGACTAGAAGACTTATAATCAAGATGTCTATTCTTCCATAAAGCAATATACAGATTCAATAACATACTTATCAAAAACCCAATTACATTTTCTGTAGAAATAGAAAAAATTCTGTCCTAAAATTCACATGAACTCTTTATGAGACCCTGAGAAACAATCTGAAATTGGACAAGTTAACAGAGCTTACATAACCTGTTTCCTTATTACAGAGTTTCAGTAATCAAACCATTGTGGTTCAGGCATAAAGATAGGTCAAAGAAAAAGATCAGAGGTGAACCTCTGCATATATATATAAGTCCATCTTCGGCAAGAGTAACAAGATCACTCTGTGAGAAAATGATAGTCTCTTTGGACTATTATCTTACTCTATGCACAAAAATGAACACAAACTGGATTAAAGAACTAAAAGCAAACTCCTAAAGGAAAACTAATGATACTGGGCTTGACAGCGACTTCTTACACATGAAACTAAAGGCATAAGCAATAAGCACAACCCTAAAATCTTGGGTCCACTAAAAGGCACATTCATAGTGAAAAGTAACCTACCAAATGGGAGAAATACATGCAAATTATGTATCTGATAGGGTGTAAATATCTCAACTCTAGAAATAACTATAATTCAACAATAGAAAACCTGATTAAAAGATGGGGAAAAGATTTTAATGTATCCCCCAAGATACACAAATGATCAATAAGTATATGAAAAGATGTTTGGAGTGACTAATAGAAAAATCAAATCACAATGAGATTGTAACTTGAGACCCATTAGGATGATGGCAGCTATCAAAAAATATCGATGTAAAACCCCAACAAGTATTTGTGAGGATGTGGTGAAATGAGAACACTGGTTTACTTTTGGAAGGATCAGTGTTGCAACCATTATGGAAAATAGTATGTCAGTTGGTAAAAATTGAAAACAAAACACTTGATTTGGAAAACATTTCTAGATAGTCAAAAGAATGAAAAGCAGAGTCTCAAAACAGATATTCACATTTTCACAAGGTTTTCACATTCCCGCTCACAGCAGCATAATTCACAAAAGCTAAGAAATACAAACAACCCAAATGGCTATTAATGGCTAAAAGATAAGCAAACTGACATATACATATTAATGTACTAATATTTAGCCTTTTAAAAGGGAAGGCAGGCTGGGATTCAGCTCAGTAGTAGAGTGTGTGCCTGGCCATGTGTAAAGTCCTGGTTGAGATTCTCAGCACCACAGAAAGAAAATGAGGGTTAGAATAGAAGGAAATCTTGTCCTGTATATGATATGGACGAACCTTATGTCATTGTGCTAAATGAAATAACCAAGTCACAAAACTTTTATATAAAGCATTTAGAGTAGTCAAATTCAAAGCAGAAGTATAGTGGTGGTTACCAGAGTATATATGGAGAGAGGAAAAGTGGAGTGGATCTTTAACTGATACAGTGTTTCAGATTTAGAAGATGAAAAGTAATATGGAGGCTGCTTCAAAACAATGTGAATACATTTAACATTACTTGTGCACTTAAAAATGGTTAAGATGCTAAAGTTTATATTGTTTATTCTCTGCCATAATAAAAATTCATAAAAATATGTAGGTTCAATCCAAGATGTGAAAAGTTCAACTGATGAGAATTCTGGAAAAAGGTAACAGAGAAAAGGTAGATTAAAAGAATATGTTCTGGGGTTGGAGAGATGGCTCAGTGGTTAAGAGCACTGGTTGCTCTTTTAGTCGACCCCGGTTCAATTCCCAGCATCCACATGGTGGCTAACAACTGTAACTCCAGTTTCAGGGGATCCAACACCCTCTTTTGGCCTCTTCGGGTATTGCACAACTTGGGTGCACTTACATACCTGCAGGCAAAACACTCATAAAATTAAATAAAAAATATTTTTAAAAAGAATATATTCCAAAAGCACAATGTAACATGAGTCTTAAGTAGATACAACTCATGGGATACAATAAAAGTAGTAATAAGAGGGAAATTTATAGCTGTAGTCAAATTAAAATGAATTAAAATAAATCCTTACAGGGCTGGTGAGGTGGCTCAGTGGGTACAGCTGTTTCTGTGCCAGCATGATAACCTGAATAGGATCCCTGGAACCCACAGTGGGGGGACAGAACCTACTCCTGCAAGCTGTCCTCTGACCTCAACATGTGCTGTCAAGTGTGTGACCCCCCCACCTCACTAAAGAGTAATAAAAAAAATCCCTATCCTACATGAGGCCCTAGATTTAATCCCTAGCATCACAAAATATATAAAATAAGTAATAAGGTAGAGAGTAAAAACAACAGTAAAAACCAGTGAAACCAAATATTGGCTGTTTTCTTGAAAAGCATTAACAAAACTGACAAACTTAGCTAGATTAAGGGAAAAAATGATTGAAATTACTAAAAATAAGAAATAAAAGATGAGGCATTACCAAAATTTTTACAGAAAGAGGATTATGAGTATTATATTGGGCTGATGGGTAAAGGCATTTGCTGCTAAGCCTGATGACCTGAGTTCAATTTCTGGAACCTGCAC